AGGTGGTACTCGTTGAGGTCAGTGGGGGTGGCTGCTTTCGCATCGCCAGGAACAATGCGGCACAAGCGATGTGTAGCGTTGGCTTTATCTGATAGCCTCGTTGGGTCAGCAGCTTTCCAGTCCGGGGGAACCACACCTCCCCCCCGGCTTTCGCGGTCAGCGTGAGGCTCCCCTTCATCCCCGAATACGTGTGGCCCTCCTCCGCCAACGAAGACAGCGAGAGGAGGTTGTAGGGGGCCTCTGGTACATGGCCAGCATTCAGTACTGACGGGTACTCCACTATCTTCCGTCTGTTTGACTATGGTCACATCTCCGTATCTAGAAGAGGAACGGGGGCCTTGTCGCCTCCGATCCCCTTCACCCAACCGCTACGCTCACGGTAGTTCNGCATTCAGTACTGGTACGGGTACTCCACTATCTTCCGTCTGTTTGACTATGGTCACATCTCCGTATCTAGAAGAGGAACGGGGGCCTTGTCGCCTCCGATCCCCTTCACCCAACCGCTACGCTCACGGTAGTTCACGAAGTTGTCTGCACATCGGAACATGGAGCACGTGGCCGCTGTGTCGGGCACGTACACCGCCTTGTCTTGTTCCACAACCCCCACTAGACCTACTTCACCGACGGTACCACACTCGCCTGGGGGGACTGCCACGGCACAAAACGCCTGGTCTTCCACGGAGTCCACGTCGCTCTCATGCTCCACCACTTGGGCTAGGACGGCCTCCTCCGTCGCGCACTTTCTTTGGTGTGGCCCCACCCCTCGCAGCGCGCACACCACGGCACGAAGTCCTTTTCGTTGGTAGTGCAGCCGATCGCTTGATGTCCACGATGTCCACACCTAAAGCACCGGCCCGGGAACTTATAGTCCCCGCCACCGCCGCCATCGGCGCCTCCACTGCTGCTTCCCTTGCTCTCCTCGACTCCTCCGGATCCGCCTGAGCGGCCGCCGCGACCGCCGCCACCGCCGCCGCGACCGCCTCCGCCGCGGCCACGACTGCTGCTGCGGCCACGGCCGCCGCCACGACCACAACCTTGCCCCTGACTCCTACTTGAGTACCGCTCCCTGCGGCCCTTACCGTCGGCGAAGTACGCTTGCTCTGCGCCCTTCGCCCCTTTTCCTTTCCCCTGCTCCAGCTTGTCCTTGATCGCTTTGTATTCGATCATTACTTCCTTTAGCACACCGGTTCGCGTCAACTCCTTCGCGTGTTGCACGTTGTGCTTTGTCATGGCATTCTCGTCCCGAAGGGCATCCAGGAAGAGGTGAAGGACGAACGTTTTGTTGACAGTTAGTCCT